AGGTCTTGGGTTTAGGGTTTGGGGTTTAGGGTTTAGGGTTTAGGGTTTAGGGTTTAGGGTGAAATCCGAGGGAGCGGCCGGACAAACTTCTGCCTCCGCCTGAGCTGCATTTCAAGCTTGGGTTCGGTCAAGCTTCTTGCACGTCCCTGCACAGCCGGACTCACAGCCCACGTCAGACCCATGTCAATCCGCCAGCAAAAAAGAACCTAAACCCCAAACCCCAAACCCTAAACCCTAAACCCTGAACCCCTAAATGGTCGCGCGCTTCTCAGCTGAGGTCCAAGGTCCACGCGCCCGCGCAAGGTCAAAGCTGGTCTGCCAGCATCCATTCTGGGCACACTCAGAGGAGGTGGTTTAGGGCTTAGGGTTTAGGGTTTAGGGTCTAGGGTTTAGGGTTTAGGGTTTAGGGTTTAGGGCTTAGGTTTCGGGGTAGAGTTTAGGTTTCGGGGTAGAGTTTAGGTTTCGGGGCAGAGTTTAGGGCTTTTTGTGCTGCATCAACCCTAAAAAGCTTCAACACTCCACAGACCAAACGTGACTGAACACGGGCCCAGGATCAGCATGGTTTTGTCGGGGCACCCCTAAAATACCCTCAGCATACCATGAGCCCAGCTAGGGAGAAGGAACCCGCCGCAGCAAAAAGGGCACAACCCTATCTTGGGAACCCCTAAACCCTAAACCCCTAAACCCTAAACCCCAAACCCTAAACCCTAAACCCTAAACCCTGAAACCTAAACCCTAAACCCTAAAGACCAAGTCGGCCTTCGCCTGTCACCTCCGCCGCCGCCGCCCCCGCCGCCCCGGCGGCTCCGGCTGCGCCGGTGGCCGCGGTCGGGCGCTCCGCGGGGCCCCCTGCATCTCGAAAACTGCGGTTTAGGGTTTTAGGGTTTAGGGTTTAGGGTTTAGGGTTTAGGGTTCAGGGTTTAGGGTCTAGGGTCTAGGGTCTAGGGTGTGGGGTTTAGGGTTTAGGGTTTAGGGTTTCGGGCTATCTCTGTATTGTGACTACCATTCTGGTCTACTTATTCCTGTATGTACCTTGTGAGAGAGAAGCATTCGGATGGGCCATTCTCCAGTGGGTGACCGCGTGGAAGCAACATGTGCTGACAAATGCTGACGGTTCGGAAGTACTAAATGATCTTTTTTAAGCTGTATTGGAGGATGTGATGTCTTGTACTATACACAGAAATCTAGCAGAAATATGTGTTTCCATGTATGTAGGATTGTAGAAACTGCTTTAGAAAATTTAAGTATACACACATATATATATATATATACATCTATAACTAATTATATATGTATATAGATAGATAGATAGATAGATGTACATATATACATACATACATACATACATACATACATACATACATACATACATACATACATACATACATACATACATACATACATACATACATAGATGCATGTAGCTGTGTGCAGGTCCATCCCGTGGACCTCGGACCACGGTCCGGATACCGACCGTGACGGTCGCCGCTGCGCGCCTGACAAGCAAATACTTGGGGCCTGCTCTGCGTTCCAGACTCGTAGGTTTTAGGGTTGAAGAATTCAGGAATTAGGGTTTGGGGTTTAGGGTTGGAGGATTCAGGGTTTAGGGTTTGGGGTTTAGGGTTGAAGGATTCAGGGTCTAGGCGGTCTAGGGTTCAAGGATTCAGGGTTTAGGGTTGAAGGATTCAGGGTTTGGGGCTAGGGTTGAAGGACGTTGAAGGATTCAGGATGTAGGGTTTAGGGCTGAAGGCTCCCCGAAACCAAAGTGCTCGGCCGTCCTGGCGATCTCGCAGTAGCCGAGAACGCTCCTCCTGCACAAGTCTGCAAGCAACACCAACACTCGTGTACACACCTTGCTGTCGCTGTCGTTGCAAACTTGTAGCTGGAGTCATCCTCAGGGCCGCTACCCTGAATCCTAAACCCGAAACTCTATACCGCTGCCTGATCAATGAGCTTGGCGTCGACAGTCGCTCCATCAACATCCAAGCCATTCAGCTCCTGCGTTGATGAGGGTGGTGGCTCTGGTTGGAGGCGTGCCACAGTGCCGGCAACAAAATCCAAGAACCTAAACCCTGAACCCCAAAAACATGACCCTAAAGCCCTACATCGCCAAAATCCCCAAACCCTCAAGCCCGAACCCCTCAAACTCCAAACCCGTCAGACCGTAACCCAAAAACCCGAAAATCCAGAAACCCCCAAGAACCCCCAAGAACCCCCAAAAATATTTAAGAAAACCCTAAACCCTAAACCCTAAACCCTAAACCCTAAACCCTAAACCCTAAACCCTAAACCCTAAACCCTAAACCCTAAACCCTAAACCCTAAACCCTAGCCCTAAACCCCAAACCCTGAACAACCCTCGAACCCCCAGCCTTGACCAGTGCGGCAGCCTCAGCAGGGCTCGCGGCCTCGAGTACTGCCGACAGAGGGTCGCCCCCCCGGCCTCGCAGTGGCTCTGGAGGAAGGAGCTCTCTCTTTCCTTCTGTTTTGTGGGGTTTAGGGTTGAGGGTTTGGGGTTTAGGGCTTAGGGTTTAGGGTTTAGGGTTTAGGGTTTAGGGTTTGGGGTTTGGGGGGTTGGTCTAGAGTACGGGGGGGCCCATGTTTGGGACAAGAGCTGGAGGTAGGAGCGCTGGCGGTAGAAGAAGGGACAAGAAGCCGGGAACAAAGCACCTAGGGTGTAGAGTTTAGGGTTTAGGGTTGGGGTTTGGGCAGGTTTCCAAGTGATGGTACCTTTGCGGGTACCCTATCATACAAGGGGCTCTATACTACAACGGGAAGCCCCCAGCTACGCCTCATAAACCCTAAACCCTGAACCCAAGAACGGCACCATGACTTAAAGTTGTCTGAGGCAGCTGCCAAAAAACGAGACGTGCTGAACCTTGCCCGTGGAGCCAAACTTGTCAAACCTGAGGCATCAAGATCAATTCTGCCAGGGCCGGCAGCCGAATATGGGGGCCTTAATGATTCGAACAGGGTTTTGGGGGGGGGTTATGATGGTACATTATATTATAAAGGGGCCATGAACGAATACTATTAGCAATTATTCCGACCCCTAAATTAGGCACCTAAGCTTCCCGGCACAGGCCAGCGAAGGCACCCAAGCCCTTACACACATCCTGAGAGCTAGCCTCCCGCCTTCGAAATATTGGGGGTTTTCGAAATTAGTGGTACCTTATAGGGGTCCTTATTATTAAGGGATCCTACTATTCGGGGGTCTATTTTTAGGGGTCCCGATTTTCGTAAACCCCATTAGAAACTTCTTGCTTGAAAGATCCCCCGCCCCCACGGAACCCCTCCCCCACGGAACCCCTCCCCCCTGCAAAGACCATCCTACGTCTCTCTCTTGCAATGAACTGCCCTGTGAACCCTAACCCAACCCAAACTAACCCTCTAAGCCTGGAAAAAGCTAAGACATCTAAATCCTGAAGGTAGCTCTAAACCTTCTAAGGTCTCCTATAACTGTAAACCCCAAAATCCAACCATAAATCTCTACAAACCCCAAAGCCGCGCAAGCAAAAACGCGAAAACCCGAAGCAAAACAAAGACGAAGAAACCACCCTCAACTTATGAATCCATGAAACTCCTGAGAAAGGCCTACAAACCCTCAACGCCTAAACCCTAGACCCTAAACCCTAAACCCTGAACCCTAAACCCTAAACCCTAGACCCTAAACCCAGGGGCCCGGGCCAGTCCCGGTGCTTCGCTGACTCGGGGAGGTGCCGGGCCACCAGGAACTTCGAGTCGCCAGGCTCGGCCTTCAGGGGGTCTTCGGGAGGGAGAAGTTTGGGGGTGTAGGGTTTAGGGTTTAGGGTTTAGGGTTTAGGGTTTAGGGTTTAGGGTTTAGGGTTTAGGGTTTAGGGTGTAGGGTTTAGGGTTTAGGGGTTTAGGGGTTTAGGGTTTAGAATTCAGGGTTCAGGGTTCAGGGTTTAGGGTTTAGGGTTTAGGGTTTTTTTTAAGGCTTGGGGAATTCGGGCCTCAGGGCCTTAGGGATTTGAAGGGGTTGGGGGATTAGGGTTTAGGGTTTAGGGCTTGGGGTTTGGGGTTTGGGATGGTTTGGAATGGTTTGGGGTTTGGGGCTGGGGTGGTTTGGGGTTTGGGATGGTTTGGAGTTTGGGGGATTAGGGTTTGGGGGTTTGGGGGATTAGGGGTAAAACATTAAGGGTGTTTTGAGGGTTTGGGGGATTGGGGTGGGTCTGAGTCGCAAGCTTCTTTCGCATCACCATTGGTCGCCGTTGCCTCCTTGGCAGTCGAAGCACTAGGTCAAACTACTGTGCGGGATGCCTGCAGCATGAATCCAAACGAAGCTAGGACAGGTGCCCTTACAAACCCCGTTGAGTGTTTCAGGGGTTCAGTTAGGACCCCCTCGCAACCCCAAGAAGAAAGAGGTAGGCCCGCGACGGTGCGGGCTTTCTTGCGCCTAGGCTTGGGACACGCTCCTTTCGGAAGCTGCTTAGGGTTTTTGGGTTTAGGGTTTAGGGTTTAGAGTTTCGGGTCTAGGGTCCAGTGTTTAGGGTTTAGGGTCTAAGGCTTAAGGTTTAAGGTTTAAGGTTCAAGGTTTACTGTTTAGAGGGCCGGAATTCAAAACAGCGCAGCACTGTCCCCACTCGTAGGCCCCTTGCTGGTCTCTGTCAGCCTGAGGTCACATGCAGTTGCCACATGCACTAAACGTTCAAGCGAACTGTGAAGAAGCCTTGCATGAAGATGGTTTAGGGTTTAGGGTTTAAGGGTTTAGGGTTTAGGGTTTAGGGTTTAGGGTTTGGCATTTCATCACGGCTTTGATTCCTTCGCTTTCTTGGCTCAGGAAGCTGCACATACCTACGTGGTCGGAAGGAGATGCTTCCGAAACCTCAAACCTGAAGCGCCAATCATATGAGCATATCCCAAAAAGCCCTAAGCCCTAAGCCCTAAACCCTAAACCCTAAACCCTAAACCCCCACATTTAGTTTGCGAGGGTGATTTGTGCAGGGCCTCCTCGTCGTCAACGACTTCCACAACGTCCTCCTTGCCGTCGGGCTTGGCCTCCTGGAGCTTCACCCCATCCTCCTGAGCTTAGGGTTCAGGGTTCAGGGTTTAGGGTTTAGGGTTTAGGGTTTTGGGTTTTGCGTTTAGGGTTTAGGGTTTAGGGTTTAGGGTTTAGGGCTAGGGTTTAGGATTTCAAGGTTTTAGGGCTTTAGGGGGCATTTAGGGGCTCCTCCTGGGGCTGCTCGCTCTCCGCCTTCCCGCTCTCCGCCTTCCCGTCGTTCCCGCCCTCCTGCATGGGCCATGTGCGTGGGCACCATACTTGAGTAGTTCATTCCAAAATAGGGGTGCCCCTTATCTTCCCCAAATAGAATAGAATCCCCTTAAAGGGACCCCCAAAAAAGGGTACCCCTATTTTCGGAAGCCCCCTTTAAAGAGGGTCTCTGCAGGCCCAGGTGCGGGGTCACTTCTCTACACTCAGGCCCCCTTTTGGGTGAGCTCTTTAGCAGCGCCAGCGCCTCCATTTTCGGCACTTCGCCATTGGAGGAGTTCTCCAGAAACCGCAACAGCGCATAGCGAAAACGGAGCAAAAAACATAATCGAGTGGGTAGCTAGACATATTTTCCTGTGAAAGCACTGTCTTCCTAATCTTGCTGCTGTAGAGACCCTTAACCCTGAACGCTTATGGGGTTTACGAAAATATGGGACCTCGAATATAAACCCCCAAATACTACGATTCCCATAGAACAAGGACCCCAAAATATGGTACCCACCCCTAGTAACGTAAACCCCCGGAATGGGGTTGGGCCATGCCCTCAGTCAACTCAGAGCCATGGTGGGCAGCGGCGCACCTCTGTGGCGTCGGGCTGCTCCTCGTCACCCATCGCCTCACCCTGAGCATGGGACTGCAGCTGCAGATTCGAACTCGCAAGGATGTAGAAAAGCCCATACTGGGCGCACACACACACACACACACCTGTCAATGCGGGTGGGATAGCAGATAGCTGTTGAGTATGTTGAGGGCCGATGTGGCAAAGACTTGGCATAGCTCTGGCTTGCTGTGTGCCTCTCCTGGTGGTTCAACCGTTCAACCTGTCCAAGGCCCGTCATTGGCGGCTGGCACGCCCTTTGCTCCAACATGTCCCAGGCATCGGCCAGGCGCCGATGGAAGCATGCTCGCACCGTAGGCAACCGCCGTCCACGCTGCATGTCCAGGAGGCCAGCGGCTGGATGGCACATGAGAGCGCTGTGAGGGGCAAAACAACAAAGGTCTAACTGAGTCTGGAAACCTCTTGGTCCGAACTAGGTCCTACGAAGGTTCCGCTGTCTTCCAGGACCGCATGGTCGCCATCCGCAGCGCATGCAGCGCCAGCGCCGTCGCGTCCACGATGCTCCGCGTCTATCGGCCCTTCCCCCGGTCTACGCTGCAATGAGCGCAGTACACCTGCAAGTCGGCAGGTGCAGACGCCCTAGGTGGTTATCCGAGTCCGTGCCCTTTACACCCCAAACCCTCGGCCGCAAATGCACCGCAGGTAGCCGCTCGGCAGCGGCCCACGGGTTGAGACCGGCGGCAACCATGGCCATGGGATCCTCGACTCCTCGACGTCCACACGCGCAGGTCTCCTAGACCGCCAGACAGCAATCGCCTTGGGAGCGCCTTGCAGAGTCAGATCCCGATGTCGGATCGGGGATGGCTACAGGGTGCTCTGGCGCCCCCAAAACCGTACGCGAGAAACCTGTAGAAATGGTAGGAAACGGGCTAGAACACGCCAAGGCAGTCCCCTCTAGCATAGCACACCCTCCATGAGAAAGGTGGCACGTGACTGATGAAATCTCTGAGTAGCGATGGTAGGCCATGGCCTGATGGTTGTCAGACCAAAGAGATTGATTCTCGCCAGCCAGCCGTTCACCTGCACATGGCCCTTCGCTTCCTGAGCAGAGGCAACAGGCAACCCAAACAGGAGAACGCCACCTCAAGGTGAGTGCTCCCGTGGTGCTCAACCGAGACATACGCCGCTGAGAGGAATCCAGAAAGTGACTGACAAGGGGGTTTCTTCCACAGAAGGGGGTAGGTTCAGCACGTGCCCTACGAGCCTTATGTGAGCCGATGCATCTTAAGTCGCCTGGAAGAACGTTCCCCTCTTGACCAGAGTGGCCAAGGCAACTCAAGCTCAAGCTCCCCTAATGCGGGAAACCGACTTTTCTTTTGCACTGCATCCAGACTGCGGCACTTGAACTCTGAGGCCACAGGAGCAAAAACCCGGCTGCCCAAGTGCCTGGACACCCAGAGCCGAACGCAGTCGGCCCCAAAACAACGCCCCAAACTTGGTTAACGAAATTTAACGAAGGAGCTACCAAAAGTCACTGGCTTTACCATTTGTAATGAGGTTACTAGTGCCGCTGAGCCGCACCGTACCGGATCGCAAGGCCCCAATGGACGCATTGCGCTGTGAGCGTCTCCGATGCCCTCTAAGCGATGGAGAGCCAGGCAGCGGAGACAATGGAGGGTTCTGAGACGCGGCTGCACTTCCAACACCTCTCAAACCCTTTGCGGCAGAAACCCGCAATAAAAAACACAAGAGAGCGCTTTTTCAAAACCGCCGGTGGCTACGGCAGGCAATGGTCTGAGGAAGGAAAAGTGGCCAAACCACAAGCTCCTTCAAGGAGCGGCTTCCCCCAGAAACTCTTGCAAATGTCTCTTGCACCTATTCGGTGCCCTGATAAAACGCGCTGGATTGAAATTTTCATCCAGGTCTGGAACACAAGCCGATTGGACAGGACGGCGTGATGTTCTCAGCACACGCAGGCGCTTGCACTTGATGATAATCGGCCTACGAGATCCTACAAGATTTTTGATATGCTGGGGGGGAAGAATATGGGCCCGGCACGTTTGCTCGTTAGATCCTGCTTGCGGTTCGCTTTCAAGTTCTGACTGATCAAGGCATGCCTACTGAGGATGCAACAGGAGACTTCTGCGGCTGCGTGCTTCGGGAAACTGTCAAGAAGACGAACCTTAAACCCTCAACCGCTCAGTTTCGGCTCTGTTGCCTACCGGACAACGTGAAGCACACAGCCGGATTCAGATGTACACGTACAAGTCAGGAAGATGGATTGGCAGTATGCAGATCACCTCAAATCTCTGGAACCTTGGGGGGCAGCCACAGAGCTGAAGAAGACATGGTCAGATCCCAAAATTGTGCTCTGTTTTGGTGGTTCCGAATCGTCGGGCGGTTGGACAGAGCTTGCTATTTGGGCAAAAGGCCATGATGTAGAGAACTGCCCAGGTACGGAGTGCTTATGAGTGCAGCTTCCCGATGTTTTCCTTGAGTTGCGCACGCGCTCCTGGACGGCCCCCACGTCGAGACCTCGGTTCATGCGATCTGTGCCTGGCTCCTGTTTTTGTCGAAGACAAGTGTTTATGAACGACCCCTCCCTTACAAACACAGCACAACTGACCGAACGAGACTTGCCTTAGACACGGTAAATATTCGTCATTCTTTCACGGCACGAAAGCAGTAACAGAGGGGCCATGCAATTTCCAGGGCATTTCTGATTCAGGGTTGCTTATAAGCCCCGCTCAACCCCAAACGCATCAGCCCAGCAGCCCAGCAGCCCATCAGTCCATTAGCCCATGAGCCCATGAGCCCATGAGCCCAGTGAACCATGAGCCCATTAACCCACTGCCCATCAAAAAGATGGTGCTTGAGAAGGATGTTCAGCCAAGGTGCGTCGGACGAGCACTATCCAAAGGCATTGACATCGTGGCCTGCGCTCGCGACGAACATCAACGCACCACGTGAAGTGTATTCATAAATATATATATATATATGTGTACATATACATCTATATGTACCTATATACACATAATGGTATATCACTATATATTTTTATGGCGCATAATTGTGTAAAATATACATAGAGTACAGGTTGAGAAGTGCGGGGTGCCTCGCTGCCTTCGGACGGCCGCCCTCAGAAGGAGCCAAGAAAGGGTGGACGAAGGAGCTCGCACTCGTGACAAAGAGCCCTGTAATTCCTTTGACTCTTTAGCCCTACCCCCTGAACCCTAAACACTAAACCCTAAACCCTAAACCCTAAACCCAAAGAGCCCTTTAACTCTGCATCTCTGTGTTTTCAGGACCCCGCTCGTGACGGCACCGTCGGACACCGGGAACTTGTGGGTTGCTCCTCGCTTGCCTCTGAAAGCACTGGGGTTACGCGGAGCCCTGAATCTCCCTGAAACCTACCCTCACCCCTAAAGCCCCCTAAATCCCTCTGTAAAGCGTAAAGCCCCTGTACAGCCCCCTAAAGCCCCCTAAACTCCCCTCAACAGCCAAGGGTTGGCGCCTCCCCTTGAGGGAGGCGGAGCGGGAGCAGCGCTGCTCGCGGCCTCTGCAGGCCTGGTCGGGACACTGGAAACCGCACCCGGGCGGTCCCCTAAACCCGAATTAAACCCTAAACCCTAAACCCTAAACCCTAAACCGCCGCATTTCTTTCCGCGAGTACGCAGGTGACTCAGTTTTGCTGGGCAGGAAAGACAAGCTAAGAGCTCCACTTGTTCGTGGGCGGCTTCCCTCCGGGTGCCGCCGCCGCCTTGCCCTTGAAAAACTCGTGATTTAGAGCCTGACACAGGTTTTTCAATGATGCAATCAACTTGAGGACGAATCAGGTGCTGCTTGCCCTAAACCCTAAACCCTAAACCCTAAACCAGGCGAGTCGGCACTGTGCCAGGGCCTCTCCAGCTGACGGGCGCTCCGCTGTTGTTTTTGACCTCAGAGCGAGGCATCCCGCCCAGACGCTTCCAGGCCAATCTGACGAAGAATCTGGTTGCTGAGGATGTGACAACAAAAGGAGCGCAAACTTCTTGCACGCTGGACCTCAAGGCCCATGTGTGTGTCTGGCGAGCTGTCCTCTCTCCAACACACAGGCTGCTTGCCGAGCTTGGGCGCGGGCTCAGCTTACTGTACAGGTCGCCATCATAGGATATCTGCCAGGCCCGGCTTTGAACACGCTTGGAGCACCCTAAACCCTAAACCCGAAACCCTAAACCCTAAACTGAAACCCTAAATCCTAAACCCTAAACCCTAAACCCTCCCTAGACCCGAGACTCCTGACAGTCTGGACACCGAACACAAGTGCTGAGGCCTTCTCCGTCACTGTCTTGTGCAAGGTCGCTGCCTGGCGGTGTGGGCATGTTAGGGTTTAGGGTTTAGGGTTTAGGGTTTAGGGTTTAGGGTTTAGGGTTTAGGGTTTAGGGTTTAGGGTTTAGGGTTTAGGGTTTAGGGTTTCGGTTTTAGGGTTTAGGGTTTAGGGTTTAGGGTTTAGGGTTTAGGGTTTAGGGTTTAGGGTTTAGGGTTTAGGGTTTAGGGTTTAGGGTTTAGGGTTTAGGGTTTAGGGTTTAGGGTTTAGGGTTTAGGGTTTAGGGTTTAGGGATGTCCACGGTTAAAATTCCCCCAAAGCGTCTGGGGGCTCCACCATGTCCTTGCCCACAAAGGGGGCACTGCCGGAGATGGCAAAGTGAAGAGTCCTGATTCGAGGCCCAAAAAAACCACGTACACATGAGGATCCCAAATCCGGGCTTTTCCAGAGTTCCCAAACAGGGGCCCTTATACCTCAATAGTAGGATCCTTATGTTTACGTGGGTTTTTGGGCCCCCGCAGAGCTTCTTGACCTGAAGGACTGCCTGAGGCCCCCGCGCCCCAGCAGCAAAAACATCGGCCTTGCATGGATCCAGCCCTCACAACATACACCATGCGGTTTAGGGTTTAGGGTTTAGGGTTTAGGGTTTAGGGTTTAGGGTTTAGGGTTTAGGGTTTAGGGTTTAGGGTTTAGGGTTTAGGGTTTAGGGTTTAGGGTTTGCGTCTTCTAGGTCCCAAAGATGCAAAACGAGACACTCGAGCGCAACATGCCGTACCTCTTTAGAGTCCAGGCTCTGAAGTCATGTTCCCCACCCTCATCGGCCGGGCCTTTGCCGTACAGCGACCGCCCTGCAGCACCTGCAAAACTTGTGCTCCGCGAAGCTATAATACTGCACTCCGCACATGTTTTTCAAGATGGCCCTGTAGCTCATATTGATCCCTGGACACAGCTACAACGATTCGGCCTCTGGAGGAATGTAACCAGGCGAACCAACACGCTTGCGAGTTTCCTGCGCTGAAAAGCACTGGCTTCTAGCGACAACAGCATGGAGCCCCAGGAATTGAAGAAGGTTAGGGTTTGGGGTTTAGGCTTTGGGGTTCATGGAGGTTAGGGCTTCGAGTTTGGGGTTTGCAGTTTAGGGTTTAGGGTTTAGGGTTTAGGGTTTAGGGTTTAGGGTTTAGGGTTTAGGGTTTAGGGTTTAGGGTTTAGGGTTTAGGGTTTAGGGTTTAGGGTTTAGGGTTTAGGGTTTAGGGTTTAGGGCTCCTGGGCCTCGAGAGCTGCCGAGACAGAACCGAAACGACCAGCCCAGCCATGACCGGTCCGTCCCCCCCTTTCCGCCAGGAAACCACGAGCCTTGACCAAAAAGAAATACGAGCCTCTCACAGCATAGAGGGTAATCTCTAATCAGAGGTAAACAATACTAATCATACATACACGTGTATATATACATCTATATCTATATATATATATAATGGATCTTAGTGTACAGGCAGAAAGAAGGAACTAAAGCCACACATTGCACCCTTTTGTAGTGATGACAGACGTGCAATCAGCAGACGCGGAGATTGCTAAGCCGCATTCCAAGACATGAAAATCCTAAAGCCGAAACCCCAGAGCCCTAAAATCTCCAAACCCACGAGACCCTAAGAGCCTTCAACCCCAAAAACAATGCTCGAGCCCTCAAACACGCAAGAAAGACCCATAAAACCCTTCAAAGCACTTTAGAAAAGATACACACATAAACAATCCCTTTGAAAAGCATACCTCTGAACCCGGGAGCAGCCACAAAGCAGTCCTCGCTGTCACTGGCCTTGCATGCCAGCCCAAAGTCGGCCAACATCGGCCGCCCCCCTCCAAGGTTTAGGGTTTAGGGTTTCGGACTTAGGGTTTAGGGCTTAAGGTTTCGAGTTTAGGGTTTAGGGTTTCGAGTTTAAGGTTTGCGGTTTAGGGTTTGGGGTTTGGGGTTTGGGGTTTAGGGTCTATCTGAGAACCTAAGGCCAAGTCCAGAGCAGAGGTTTTATGGCGTCGATGACCCGTGGAACCCTAAACCCTAGATTTCGGTACACTTAAGTCGGGTACGCCCTAATCCCTACACCAACCCCCCAGTTTCGCGCAGAAGGAAAGGGAAGAAGGGGTGAAGGAGGGAAAGGGGTTTGGGGGGGGGGTTGTGGGGGGAGGGGAAGGGGAGAAAGATGGTTGGGTTAAGTTTAGGGTCAACCCCAAAACATCCCAACCCAGACAGCCCCCCAAACCCTAAACCCTAAACCCTGAACCCTAAACCCTAAACCCGGATTCCACGTGTTGCGAAGTTCCCCACAGCCTGTCTGGAGGAGCAAGTTCTCCGGCTTCACCTAAGGGATTTAGGGTTTAGGGTTTAGGGTTTAGAGTTTAGGGTTTAGGGTTTAGGGTTTATTGTTTAGGGTTTAGGGCTTAGGGTTTAGAGTTAGGGTTCAGAGGGTAAAGGCACCACAATCCGAAACCCTAACACCCGAATACCCCCAGACCCGAGTACCCTGATACCCTAGTAGCTTACTACCCTCATACCCAAATATGTGCTTGCATGGCTTGAGGGTCTCGGGTTTGGGGTTGAGGTTTGAGAGGAGTCTACACCCGGCACCGTATTCAGCATTCCATGGTTCCTGTTCTGTATTTGCTTATGGTATTTCTCCGGCAAATATTGCGACAGTGAAGTTAACTAGGAACTGTCAAGAAATAGGGGTCCAAATTCAGAGTTGAGCCCGAGGGACGTCCCGGTGCAGGATGTCCAGCCAGTGCAAATGGCCACATGCGAGAAGAAGGCCCTCCAGCATTGTCTTGCACGTGGCCTGCCGAGTCGCACAACCCGCTTCCAAAAATGTGTGCAGAGCACCAGGAGGATGCTAAGCATGCTCATGCTGGCCTCTGGCTGAACACCAGTTTTCGAGATATGAGTGAAGGCATCCCCACCAGCGCAATCTCGGCACACTTGGGGTCACGTGTCTCTCTCTCTTTGTGCAGAAAGCTGCGAGGACTCTCTTGATTCTATACTATGTGCCACATGGCACATGTCGCCGTGCTACCAGACCTGAGCGCAGAGCAATCCAGGATGAGAACCCATTGACCACTGGTAGGTTGTCGGAACACCGAATGGAGGTTCAAGATGTTCGGATGCCTCATCAGGCCCCAACACAAGAAACAGTTGGGACCCTGATTGGCCGAAATTCGCCTGCATGCCAGTCAATGCAAGTAAGTAAGAAAGTAGGTTGGGATGTTCCCTCTTCTACGAACAGGCCCTCGTAGAGATTCTAATAGGGGGCACTATAATCCCAATTAAGGCCTGTCCGTATACGAAGGAACATCCGAAAGTTTAGGGCTTAGGGTGTCAAGTCTGCGCTGCGACTGTGTGAAAGCGAGGCGCCCCTTGGCGGTCAGCATAAAGGAAAGCTCCGACCGCCTTGGCCCACGATCTTTGTGAACTTCGATCGCTCTGCTGCGTCAGAACGCGTTATCTTTTCCAGAGTTAGCATGATACGGATGCTATGCTTATGACTATAAAAGGCTACTATGGTACAGGTAATTCAAATAAAGCTGCCCAACACCAGTGATACAAGTGCGCATCTGGCAGTTCCACTTGCTTGGACTCCTGCAGCAGGGTGGGAACTCCACCACAGCTCCCGCCATCCTCAGTGCAGCTCAGGGTATCCCAACGCCCTAACCCTAAACCCTAAACCCTAAACCCTAAACCCTAAACCCTAGACCCTAGACCCTAGACCCTTACATCATTCGCAAAATCATCCATGGAATGGGTGATGTCAAAGCACCTCACTGCCAACGTTGCCAGATTCCGCTGCACGTTGCAGTTTCAACCCTAAACCCCACACCCAATACCGCTACACGGCTGAAGCCCTCAAAACCTGCATCTTCTAAAACTGGCCTTCATGTTTATGAGGAGTCGTGTTAATATAGTATTCTTATGGAGCCCCTCTTCTGGACACTCTCTCTTTCGTTGAATTATTATTCTTTCTCTCGGTGGCGGTCATGGAAAGTGACCGGCACGTTCAAAGTTCCAGGTGACTAAATATGGCTTCGTTCATAAGAGCCCGCCAATTACCAGCAGCATGCACAGCAAGACAAGGAGACAGGGCTGTGGGGCGCAATGGACAGCGCGTTCTGGGAGCGCGGCAAACTCACGCATGCTGGCAGGATCGATACCTGGGCATCGAGCAAGAAGATGCAGAGGGGATAGGCAAACTGCCTGTGCTCACACAATCATCTCCGGCATCGGCGAACGCAGAAATATTCAGTCTAAGAACAGCAAGCAAGCCCCTGAAGAACGAACCTCCCTAAAAAAATTGGGCCCACCACATTTTGCCACTAGGTCCTGCTTCTCCTCGGAGCCCAGAGCTCTCTCCAAAGTCTGCGGCTTGACTCCACAGAATGCAGAAAAAACGCCAGGGAGTCCTTGTGCTCACCTTTTGCGAGTCGAACCTTGTGCCCACTTCAGCCGCGAGCAAGTGAAATGCAGCGGACACGGCTGACCAACACTCGGACACGCAGAATATGTTGGGTATAAGGGGGGCATCCAGGCTCCCCACTTTTGCCCGACGGACAACTCCAAAACTGCCTGTTCCTCACAGCTATGGAAGAGCAGATGCGGGCAACACGTGCGACGTGGAGATGGCGCAAGACTTCCCCACGCGCCTACCACGCCATCATCCATCTGATACGCATTTTCCAAGTCGGTACGCCTGGGGGCTTGTGCTCTCCGGCAAAGGCAGGCTTCATAGAGAAAGAAAGGCCAACTGTAGCCAACTTTAGCCAACTCTGCCGGGCTTGCACACCACCGGCGCCGGCCAACAGATCGACCGTGCGCCGCATGCACTCCTGGGGCAAAAAGGCAGCAGGGCACCTCAAGGCCAGTCGGCCCTCCTTGGGTTTAGGGTTCAGGGTTCAGGGTTCAGGGTTTAGGGTTTAGGATGTAGGGTTCAGGGTTCAGGGTTTAGGATGTAGGGTTTAAGGTTCAGGGTTTAGGATTTAGGGTTCAGGGTTCAGGGTTCAGGGTTTAGGATGTAGGGTTTCGGGTTCAGGGTTCAGGGTTTACAGCGCGCCCCCACCAGGGCGCCTCTCCCGCTTCTGCTACAAGCAGCCATCCAAAGTCGCTTGGCGGTGTGGAGACAGTTCGGCCCTTGGCGGGGGCCTGGCATGGTGTGGATGGCATGAGATTGTGATTCTCAGGAGTTCGCACAGAAAGCTCACCAAAAAAAAAGAGAGCGGATGACTTCTCTGCAAACTTGCCGCTTGCCTTTGCCGTGGGAGCGGGGCCCGCCGGCTTGGGAACGACCATGGGCTCCTTTACACGAGGGAAGGCAGACTGGCAAGTTGCATGAAGCCCTCGACTAGCCGAGAAGACGCAAGCTGTCCTCTCTACGCAGTGAGCGCAGGCCCAGCAGAGGCAAGGAGCCCTCAGCCGTCTTAGTGAAGATCTCCAGCCCGATCAAGTCGACCTGCGCAATTATTGCATGCCCAGGTCACACACACACACACACACATGGGCAGTTCTCTAAAATAGGGGGGGTCCTTTTTCATAAGGGTGCCGTATATAGGGGGCCCGAACAGGGACCCCAATTTATGGAGAACTACCCACATGTCGGACAGGTCTTCGGAAGAACGGCCTTGTCCAGCTGCCGCTTGCTCCCAGCTTCATCCAAGAAGATCAGCATGAAGTGGCCGCACACCCCCAGCTTGTACTGGCGCAGCGACAATCTCAACTACGTCTTTTTGGGATCGTCTAACCCTAAACCCTAAACCCTAAACACTAAACTCGGGCAGCCTTCTTGTTCACATCGCTCTTGCCCTCATTGAGCACAGCTTCCAGTCCCGCTTCAGGTATTGGTTGCGGCACGCCTGTCGGCGACCTCAGCTGGCAGTCCCGCAGGAAGCAGAGGGTTTAGGGTTTAGGGTTTAGGGTTTAGGGTTTAGGGTTTAGGGTTTAGGGTTTAGGGTGTAGGGTGTAGGGTTTAGGGTTTAGGGTTTAGGGTTTAGGGTTTAGGGTTTAGGGTTTAGGGTTTAGGTGCACAACTCTTGGTGTGCAGATGCGTGTAGATCTAGGGCCAAGGGCTCCCACTGCAGTCAGAAGTCTGAGGCTCTTACGTGTTAGGTGTCTGGGGTAGAAGCCATTTCTGGGAGTTTACGATATTTGGGGTACCTTCTTGGGGTCCTTACTGTCAGGGGATCCGACTACTTGGGGTCTATTTTGGGGCCCCTTATTTGCGTAAACCCAAAACCCTAAAACCTAAACCCTAACCCCTAAACCCTACACCCTAAACCCCCATATGTCGCCGTTATACCTTCAAATGCAGGTCCAAGGCCGGCACTCCTCGTGCACTGCGTGCAGCCTGCAGCCCATGACGTCAGCTAGGGTTGAGGGTTTAGGGTTTAGGGTTTAGGGTTTAGGGTGTAGGGTTCCGGGTTGAGGGGCTAGAGGTGTAGGGTTTAGGGTCGAAGGGGGCCTGACGAAGGCCAGCAGTTGCATGGGAGGGCTTGGAGCATCAGCTGGTGGCGCTCCATCATCAGCACCCTTTGCAGGTCCTGGCACCCCAGGAATCACAAGAAAGGTCACAAAGCCGACCAGAGATCCGACTGCTGCCATGTCCAGCCTTTCCGAGCTGTCTTCATGAACTCTTTGAAAATAACTCTGTCATTGCGGCACTGCCGCACGAGTGACAACTTGGGCCAAGAACATGGCGGACGGATGCATCCAGACGCTCCTGCTACTGTCAACCGCCCCTGGCTTTGCAACGAATCTGTGGCGTCATGTGCATTTTGACACACACGCGTATCTTAAAGCTTGCACCACCTTCTATCAAGCAGCTCTGAAGACATCCCACCTTAAGACCGACTCCTCAAAGCCTTTTGCACACCTCGTCTCACACTCAAAACTCTACTTCGGCCCAGCCGCGTCGAGCGACATGCACACGGGCCAGATCAGCCATGTAATCAGTGCTTGTTGCACCATACTTGCAACTGGTGGCTTTCAATAGGTACCGTCGCGCATTCTCTGTGTCCCCTTTCGCCTGTCAGCTTGAGGACCACTCATGAGCTCACCTCTGATACGGCAACGACCTAAACGCACTGAGGTGCAGACCTCGTAGAACAAGCCCAGGTAGAGGCAGGAGTAGAACACATCGGAGCGGCCACCGGCAGACAAATCTTCGAGCGCGGCGATGGACTTCGCATCATCATCGCCCCTAAACAACGCCATTGCCGTGCGCATGACGGGTCGTGGGTCCACACCAACAGTTAAGATCTGCCGTCGTGCCTGCTGGAAACCAAGCAGCTGCGCCTCGCATAAGAATGCCCAGATCGATTCTTCAGTGTCGTTCGGATTCATCTCCACGTCCTTTCTGAACTGCTCTGAACCAGATTGGAAGTCTTTCGCATAGTAGAGGGACAGCCCCCGTTGCCACAGCCTGGCCTGCACTCAGAACTCCACGGAACACACGAATGCACAGGGAGTTGTTGAACACATACCGCTGATGTTGCTTTCAGTGCAAGATTTTGGGATGCTACCCCTTATACCAACAGTCCTTCATTGGGATTATAATCGGGGTACTATAATCCGTACTAAGGACTGTTAGTACAAGGGGGAACATCCCAAACAAAAAAGGCGGCCCCGCTTGCCTTGGGATATCCTGACTGCGCGGCCTTGTCAAAGAGCTCGACGGACTCCTCCACCTTATTCTTCTTGAACGCCTCTTCCCCTTCCTGGGGTAGGTTGGGGGGCCCTGTAAAAATTGAATTGTTTATGGCTTTATCAGGACTATCTTGTGATTCACCCTTTGTTTAAGGATTATAAGGGTATAAAAAATTAAAATCTTATGTTCAAACCTACCCCTGCTTCTTGCACGAGAAGGAAAGGGTTGCCTCCGCCCTTGGCCACGGCTGGAGATGGAGCGGCAGCCAGTGTTGCCACGACGTTGAAGAGACCCTCCCTCCGATTCTTCGAGGTTTTTGATAGGCCGAAAGCCGCTCCCACTGACTTGGGGCGGCGGCTCTTGCGCCTGATCAGCGCGGAGCCCAGGACCATTGATGCAAGCATGGTTGCTTGCCAGGCATTCCTGACGCCACCCACATCGAGGCCACCAAACCACGGATTCCCAGTAGCCAAGGGCCCCAAAGGGCACCGGGTCACCGTCGCGGCACGCGCGCTGCACGCCAGCTTGGGAAGCTCCATGTCTTTGAGCTTGGGGAAACTCAGGCTCAAGCACAGCCTGGACTTAGTAAGGAGTTTTTCTTGTTCGCATATTGCTTGTGGCCCTCATTTGCTCACTTACACGCCTTGAAAAGCCTTGCACGGCAACATGAGCCGCACTGCTTACTGCTACTACGGCACATCATTTATGGAGCCCAAGTCTGTGCACTTTCGGTCACCCAGCCATAAAGAGGCAAACAGCCAAGCTTGCGAACAAGGCAAAGAAGGCAGAGGAGGCAAAGGAGGGCAGTTGCTTGAAGGCATACTATGCGCAGTTCAAGACATGAACGCTCTTGCAATCGGGTCGCTCCAGCTTCTGGCCAAAGCGTTCACGCCCACAGACTGCAACCTTTGTTGAGTATTCCTAGTAACAGCCTGCGAAGATGTTGCGCGCGCTCTGCAAAGCATCCTATGCAAGCCTCCATCGGCCTATAGAACAAAGAATTTGGTTGTCGCCGGGTCCAGGCGCAAAACACTTGAAGCAACACTGCCAATTTTCGAGACAGTGATGCAGTGCTGACATCACTTCTGGATTCACGGCTCCTGTCCTAGCAACATGCTCTATGTCAGATAAGGGTGTCAGCACTGCTTTTGCCCCGTTCGCCCTTCTCCCAGCTAAAAACTCAGTGTAGCTGCCGAGGGCCCTGGATGCAAAGCAGGCGTCACTCGTCTAGCCTTGGATACCCTGCAACATGCTCTCCAGGCATCTCCAAACCGATGTCGGTGTGCATGTCTGTCTATGCGCAGTTCAAGACATGAACGCTCTTGCAATCGACCCTTGGCCAGTAGCTCCAGCTTCTGGCCAAAGCGTTCACGCCCGCAGACTGCAACCTTTGTTGAGTATTTCTAGTAACACCTTGCGAAGATGTTGCGCGCGCTCTGCAAAACATCCTATGCAAGCCTCCATCGGCCTTTAGAACAAAGAATTTGGTTGTCGCCGGGTCCAGGCGCAAAACACTTGAAGCAACACTGCCAATTTTCGAGACAGTGATGCAGTGCTGACCTTTCAGGAATCACGACCCGTGTCCTAGCAACATGCTCTATGTCAGATAAGGGTGTCAGCACTGCTTTTGCCCCGTTCGCCCTTCTCCCAGCTAAAAACTCAGTGTAGCTGCCGAGGGCCCTGGATGCAAAGCAGGCGTCACTCGTCTAGCCTTGGATACCCTGCAACATGCTCTCCAGGCATCTCCAAACCGATGTCGGTGTGCATGTCTGTCTATGCGCAGTTCAAGACATGAACGCTCTTGCAATCGACCCTTGGCCAGTAGCTCCAGCTTCTGGCCAAAGCGTTCACGCCCACAGACTGCAACCTTTGTTGAGTATTTCTAGTAACACCTTGCGAAGATGTTGCGCGCGCTCTGCAAAGCATCCTATGCAAGCCTCCATCGGCCTATAGAACAAAGAATTTGGTTGTCGCCGGGTCCAGGCGCAAAACACTTGAAGCAACACTGCCAATTTTCGAGACAGTGATGCAGTGCTGACCTTTCAGGAATCACGACCCGTGTCCTAGCAACATGCTCTATGTCAGATAAGGGTGTCAGCACTGCTTTTGCCCCGTTCGCCCTTCTCCCAGCTAAAAACTCAGTGTAGCTGCCGAGGGCCCTGGATGCAAAGCAGGCGTCACTCGTCTAGCCTTGGATACCCTGCAACATGCTCTCCAGGCATCTCCAAACCGATGTCGGTGTGCATGTCTGTCTATGCGCAGTTCAAGACATGAACGCTCTTACAATCGACCCTTAGCTCCAGCTTCTGGCCAAAGCGTTCATGCCCACAGACTGCAACCTTTGTTGAGTGTTCCTAGTAACACCTGACGGAAAATCAGAGTGATGGCAACTGCAACAGCGGGTGAAACTAGAGTAGACTTCCAAGCAAGCACAACACTTCGACCAGGAACAAAGCTCAGCAGCCTAAACCATATGACGATCATGGTCTCCAAGATCACTTACGAAGATGTTGCGCCCGCTCTGCAAAGCATCCTATGCAAGCCTCCATCGGCCTATAGAACAGAACAAGTTGGTTGTCGCCAGGTCCAGGCGCAAAACACGGCAACACTGCCATTTTGCGCGACAGTGATGCAGTGCTGACATCACTTCAGGATTCACGACTCCTGTCCTAGCAACATGCTTTACCTGCAAGAAGGATGTCACTGCTTTTGCTCCAGCACCTTCTCCCAGAACTGAGAAAGTGGAGCTGCTGCACCTTTTTTCAGGCATCCAACAGCCGACAAACAAGTTTTAAGAGCTGCCGCTTCTCGAAGAAGAACGACTGCGCCACAGCCATGTTTCGCGGCAGTGGTGCAATGCTGACGTCATGACAACAAACACGACCCCAATGCTAGCAACAACGTTTTCATCTTCATCTTCATCCGTAAGGGATGCCAACATCGCTTCAATCGCCTTCTCAGAACCGGCGTGGCGCAAGCACATAGCTCCTGCGGGCCATGGATGGCAAACAAGCCGAGTAGATCCGTAGTTTACAACGACCAGGCAACCTGGCCCTTAGAGTTGTGCGGGTGTGCGATTTGTGCGGTGTGCGTGAAGTGTGCGTGTGCAGTTGTGTACGTGTGCATGGGTGTGTGGGCGTGTGAGCCCCAGCGCGCGCAGGCCTCCCCCACTGCTGCGGACATGTCAACTTAACACAAACCTGCGAGCACAGGGCCAGCACTCTTCCTGGGGGTCGCTACGCCCCAGAGGCTGTGGTCCACTGAGCGTTGCATGACCTTCGCTGCTCCCTGGTTGGGGCTTGACAAAGAGCCGCATAGACCTTGCTACTGCATGTGTGAACGGAAGAGTCTGGGTGACCAGTCTGCTTGTAGACTTCTCGCATGCTTGCCCAGTTACCCCTTCTGGTGAAGGGGTGTGTGGGTGCAACTCCTGTTACCAAAAACTCTGCCATTGATGTCTGTTTGTGCTGAAGAGGATCAAGATCTCTTCCACAGCTGTCAGTATGTGCTGCAGGGGGCAAAAGCACGATCCATGCGACTCCTGCTAACAAAGACACCCATGGATTGGTGGTGAAGAAGCTGGAGACGTCCAACTGTGCACCTTCCATTGTTTAAGTTCCTCGTGCGGAAAACAATCGATGTGCTTAAAACTCAAGCTGATTGAGAGTGCTGCGGAAGATGAGTTTTACTTGACTTGGAGATCTGCACATGTGCGTTCGCGACAGCATACACCCAAGAGACAGGGCAGAAACACCGGCTGGGCCGAGGAAAGTGAAGGCAAGGGTAAGTGCGTTGGGGTTTGTGTGATTGAAGAGGCTGTCGGCAAAAGGGTCGGTGTGCACAAACCCCGTATGCTTTCACCCCTGTCAAAGTCTTAGGGGTTCGAGCATGCGTGTGCTGTGCGCATCAGATGCGCTGCGAGCATGGACGTCATTAAATATTTGGGGTTCGAGAACGTGTGTTCTTCGCAATGGATGCGTTGAAAGCAATACCGTTGAATTTGCTATCGTGGGCAAAGAGTCACAGACATCATCAACATCTTGATCATCATCATCATCATCACCATCATCATCATCAGCATCATCATCCTCACCATATTCATCATCATCATCATCATGATCATCATATTCATCATCATCATCATCATCATCATCATCATCAACATCAAGATCATGGCCATCGCTCAAGAGATTTCAATCCTTTTGCTTGGTCCTCCCGAAGGGGCTGTGGTAGAATAGGGGGTCGCTGTTAACGGCGGGTTGAAGCATGGGGCTTAGGGATTTTAGGGCTTTAGCCCTTCACCCAAATTCGCTCCCCCACATGAGCTTCGCGCGCAGCCTCCGACACTGTGGTCAAAGCAGCACAAAGTTTGGTGCTGCAGGCCGGAGTGTTTGCAGAGAGACAGTGAGGGTGTAGGGTTCATGGGAGGAGGAGTTTTAGTGCTTAAGGAGGGAAGCTCGGCAAGCGAAGTGTTAGAGAGACGGCGGGAGACATCAGTGCTTAGGTTCAGGGTTTAGGGCTTAGGGTTTAGGGTTTAGGGCTTAGGGTTTAGGGCTTAGGGCTTAGGGCTTAGGGCTTAGGGCTTAGGGTTTAGGGTTTAGGGTTTAGGGGGGAGTGCGAGGGGCCTTGGGAGAAGGGCGGGATCAGAGGAGTGGCAGCCCACAGAAGGTGTCCATCATCGTGCGGAAGCGTAAAAGCTTCGAGGCCTGCACCCCGAGACCCCAAACACCCCCAAACCCTAAACCCCTAAACTGCCCTAAACCCTAAACCTTAAAACCCTAAAAAACCCTTAACAAAAACTCTAAAAAAATCCAAAAACATCCTAAACCCTAAACCCTAAACCCTAACCCCTAAACCCTACAGCCTAAACCCTAAACTTTCCTAAGCCCTAAGCCATCAAGACAAAATAAGTAGAAATTGTATGTTGTGTCATTCTGAATTTCCAAGTTGTTTGCCCCCCCCACCCGCTCCCCCTCCCCCCTCCCCTCCCCCCCTCCCCCCTCCCCCCTCCCCCCCTGCCCCCGTCCCCGCCTCAGGTGTTGTTGTGTGGGGAGGGGGTGGGGGGGTGGGCGGAGACCGCTTTCATGGGTTTGTTAGCCAGAATGTGGTGCATTCTCCCCCGCACATGCTGGTGAATGGTAGGGGTACTGTTATGCATGATTGAATTTGTTTTCAGACATGAAAGGAAGGGTTCCATGTGCGCGCTTACAACTTAAGGGCACCCTGCTTCCGGAAAATCGTCTGCTTCTGCAAGGCTTCTGTCCTTCTGCAAGACTAAGAGAAGGAAGGTCTTGACCTGGACGTCTGCCGAATGGGTAACAAGCTTCAAGCTGACTCTATGAAGGTATAAGGTCAGGGCGTGATATTGACAGCCTTCATTGTGGTGTTCATGGGCTGCACGACAAAGTAGCCGCACTGGCTTGGCTCAACCACCAGCGGCAATGCCTAATTGCAACAATGTCACTCACTGAACACAAGCCCTGGACGGCATCAACGAAATTTGAAGCTCTGCCATGTGCAGCTGAAGACGCTGCTCCTATCTGTCCTGCACAGTTTTGATTGCCGCCGACAGCACAGCCAATGTTGAGGCAGTGTCCTTCCAATGACAAAAGACGGCGCTTGAGAAAATTTACATGGCACAGACGCAAACTCTGGTTCTGGCAAATGCTGCAAGGGTCCTGCAGGGCGGACCGTCTGGAAGGATGACATTGCAGCATCAATTGTCGCGTATCCACAAGAGGACACCGTAACTTGCAAAGTCGTGGAGCCATCATTGCAGAAGCGGAAAACATGGCCCTCATCTGCATGCTGCTGACAACTGCTGGCGAGGAGGCTGAGCATGGTGTTCTTCACGAGGTTGGGCGGCAAGGTGGGCTCAAAGGCGCATGGAGCCTGCGTCTCGCTGCAAGCATGCTGGCTGAAGTCGACACTTTCGACATAGGCTCCCCAGTCCACATCAGCCGACGACGCGCCATTTTCCGGAGGTGGCGTAGGTATTATGAGACTTTTGTTCAGCTCCATCTCCAGCAGCAAGGACTGTGCCTCTTGAAGTGCATCGAGTTTCTGCTCCATGCGGTCAAGCTTTCGGGTAATGCTCACTTTCCAGGGTAGCTGCGGCACGAAACCAGAGCCTTCGCTTTGGCCTGTGCCCTGGACATCCCTACTGCCACGGCTAAGCAGAGACTTCGGCGAGTTAGCGCAGCTTGAGTTCCACTTGCCAAAGATTGATTCCACCGTGCTATTCAGCATTTCCCTGAAAGCGCCGACGTTGGAGAACAAGCGATCCCCGGCATCATCGAGAGCTGCGCTGTTGGGCACACCAAGGCCGGCAGATGTGTGCCTCAAAAAAAGAAACTGAAAAAGGGAGAAGGCCTGAGAAGGCTCTGGATTCCTTGGGGGAGGAGGTGAAGCATGTTTCGGTCCCATGAAAGCAAGATTCTTTCTTAGGGTGCAAAATCATTGCGGAAGGCATGCTGTGCTAACCGGGACATAAGGTGAGGGTCACGCTGCGTGCTCCGGAAACAGACAGAGACCTCACTGCAAAGAAAGCGGCAGAGTCTCAAGCAGTGCCAACTCATCGAAGAGAGCTCGCAACTGTCGTATTGTCTGGCCCGCCAACCCGGCATCAACTGATTGGTAAACAGTCGTCTGCAGCAGGGACTTCTCATGCATTGAGTTCTGACAAAAGTTGCTCGGCACTGGAGCGAAAAAACCATCCGCATCCATGCCGAACAAGTCGTGTGCGGCGAATTTTCGAAGAACGTCTCCGTCGATGATCTTGGCCACAATAAGTCCAAGCAAAGGCAAAGAGCTTGACCAAACCTCTCGAAGGCCTTGCTGCATTGCGGCATGCTTCCTGGCAGTAATTGAGTAAGTCTCCTTCAGGGGGCTGTACGCGGCCTTGCAGCTGGTGTAGCCCTGAAGCAGCTCCAGGGCTGAGTGGAAGGATGCCAGGTACTCGTCGAGAGAGTTTAAGAAGTTGTCGAGCTGTGCTCGTAGTGTCCACCACGAGTCATCTAACGTCCGCAACGCGGCAGTAACCTCTTGCTGTTCAAGCTCTGCGAGAACCGTCCTTGAATCTGCGTGCTTTATCAAGTCGTTTTGCAGTCGCTTGCCGTGGGAAGCTGCTGCCTTGTATATTCCGAGCGTGCGGCTTTTCGCTCGCAGAGACCTGCTCATCTGCATCACATACTCCTTGGCCCCGCACTGGACACAACAGTTGTCAACCCATGTGCCTACATACCGCTCGTACCCAAAAAGGAACATCATACACGCTTCTAGGATCTGCGAGGTCTCGTTTGTGCGAATTTCGGCAGATTCAGAACTGGTCAGCTTCTGGGCAGTTGTGGATTGCAATACCGCATGCAGCTGCTTCACATGCGATTTGGCCCTGTGTAGAAATGCTGTTCCATTTTCCATTTCTGGCTTGCGCGCAACCAGCTGCTGGAACTGCTGCAATGCTCGCCATGTTGCAGCTCTAGCCGTCGGCTTCATGTCTGCTAAGAGCATCGCCCTCATCTCTGCAATATCTTTGGAAACTTCTTGCTGAAGTAAATTACCGCCTGAAGAAGCGTCTGGATCCGAACCTGAGCCGCCCAAGTAGTGGTCGAAGAGAGCCTCCCTCAGCACTCAGCACCCAACAATCCTAGAAATTGCAACTGAGACGACTCGCAAAAGCACACACTGACGCCATCCATGCTTAAGTTTGCCGCATGTTCTTTCCCAGCACGGCCACACCATCTTCCAGACTCCTCAGGATCGTGGCGTCGCCTCTCTTCACGAGGTCGCCTCAGCCCGCCCTGCGCAGTCCGCACAGTTTAGGATTTAGGGTTTAGGGTGGTGTTCGCAAGGCTGGGCTCGAGGCGGATGCAGTGCAAATCACAGAAGGTTCGCGCCAACCCGTGCCTTGGCTGACCACATGCCAGTTTGCCTTTCTAGTCCAAAATAGGGAACCCTAAACCCTAAATAGGGAATTGGGGAATGGATCCCTATAGTAGTCCCTATATGTCCCCGAAGGACCAGCAGGTTGATGAGACACTACGCCTCATGGTACATCCACGAGAAACGCATTGACATGTCAGGCAAGGTGCTGCATAGCGTTGCAGTCATTGAAACCCGCTTTGGCGATTTCGATATTGTGGGAATATTTTCCTACTTCCATCGCATAAGCAGCTGTACTTAATATGTTGTCAGTCGCCGCCTCTACGAGTTCTCGGGTTGGGAGCTCGACTCCTGGACCAAAAAAGGTCACGATAGGATTTGGTATGGCGGATATAGGAAGCCTCTTGACGGCCCACGCAAGTCGGTCCAACGCTCCTATGCCGATATCAATACCATTGTTGATGCTCTCGGAGTGCAGCGCTCGCGAATTTTCGCGGTCCCAGCACTCCTTGGCACTCTTGTAGGTAACACCTTCGTCGCCTTCTGTGTTTACAGCTGTTTCTCCAGTTCCTGCCGTTGGAAAGGTCTTCTTCTGCCAAGCCAAGCCAGCCTTAGGAGCGATTTCCCGCTCCCGTGTTTCTGGACTTGGGCGAGCCTTATCATTGGTGCTATCATATGGCGGATAATGCACATATGACTCTGTTCGCTTGTTCTGGCTGAAGACATAGTGGCACGGGTTGTGTTTTCCTCCAAGCCTTTGGCGAGGCTGTTCATCGCCTCTTGGCTAAAGGAGCGCGAGCCCGGGTGCGACTCGTCCTTGCATTCCGGTTCGTACTCCGGTTCCCCATTATTATTATCATTATTATTATTATCATTATTATTATTATTCCGCAGTGAAGGTCAACAGCGTTAGGGGGGCCCCGGGGGCGAAGGCGAAGGCGAGACCTGGCATGGCACACTGAGCTCTCGTGCAAACGCAAAAACCCTAAACCCCAAAACCTTCAACCCTAAACCCTAAACCCTAAACCCTAAACCCTAAACCCTAAACCCCAAGACCCGGGCTGGCCTGGGAACCCGCAGCGAGATCCGCGTTGAAGCTGGTCACGGGGATGACGTTCCAAAGTGTGTTGCGCAGGGGCTCGTCCAAGGGATGGAGTGCATCGCCATCTATGCAAACATCGTTTGGGGCAATGGATGGACTCAGGCTACCCTTGGTAAGGCACCAAGAACCGGTTGCACTGTCATAATTCAGGCTTGCCACGGCACTTCCGGAAGGTTGTGCAAACCCAGGAAGGAAGCTAAGCTTCTGGACGAAGGATGGGCGCTCTCCTTCTTGGCTATTTTGAGTTGGGCAGTAGATGCCCTCAAACGCCTTGACGCCGGCGCTGTCCAGGCCTTTTTGCTCCTGACCTCCTGTCCTCTCGAAGGCCACGGGGCTGGAGCTCAATTGGCAGCAGGTGAACTTGTACTTCACCCAGCGTCCCTGAGGGTCAACTATGCTTTGCAACTCCTGCATGCCATGGGCTTTGGGACACTTCACCTTCATCTCCGTAGGATTGCCTTCTTCTGTGGTTTCGGGCTCGCTGCATGCCCCAAGGGATAAAACCTCCACGCAACGGTACTTAATACTGGGCAGCAGTGCACTGTTACCCTCGTGGTCTATATGAAAGTACTGGAGCAACTTGCCGTGCTTGCAGCTGACGCGAAAGGAATTGCCCGCGATGTACCAGCTGCTGAAACGCACAGCCCAGTCTTCATAAGCTTTTTCCTTGGTCTCAGGGTTCGTCCAGATGTGAACACGTGCCTTCGCTGTGTCTGGTAAAGCTTGGAGGTTGCTTGTTTGACGGAATGAGTCCATCAAGACAGATCTCTCCCAGCCCTTCTTTGACAAGTCGGTGAGCAGGGCAAAGGGGGTCCAAGGGTCTTGTGTCCGGCCCTTGCCCACAGCCGCGAATCTGTCCTGCGATCCGGAGTAGAATGGGATGTAGTGTAAGAGCCAGTCTTCAACATAAGAATCGGTCTCTGACGTCATCAACTTCCGCAAGCCATCCAAACCAATCTTCATCCGAAACGACTGGCCATCGCTGCCATCGCAGCGCTGCATCAAAGCGCCCGTGAAGCACAATCGGCTGCCTGAAGGGCACATGGTTCTCTGCAACGGTTGCTTGGGATCCATTTAGCCGTTCTTCGTCTCATAACAGTGAACAGTGTACTCATGTGTACTCATTATTCTTGTCATCATTCTCCGCCACCCCGCGGGACTCAGCCTCCACCCCGGCCCCCCCTTGATTTTCCCGGAGCCATACCAAGGCCAAGTTATAGATTTAGGGTTCATAATATGTTCTATCGGCATTTGAGATACACCCACCTGGCTCCGCCTCTGGAACGCCAGGACTTCCCGTTACTGCACCGAGGGTGCGGGGATTGGGTTTGCGTTTAGGTGCCGTTGCCGACACCTCACCCCAGGGATGCGGCAGCTGCTCTGTACTCAGACCAGGAGTTGTGAGGGTCCACCCGCAGAGTCTTTTAGTCTTTTAATCGTGGAGTCTTTTGACTGTGTTGGGGCGCCTCCATCGAGCAGTCAGAAACCCGACCCCTTCAGTTCTCAAAGTTTCAAGTCATTCGCTGCGCTGCCTGTCGGGTTCCCGCAAAGCCGGGTGTTCACGCAATACCCAACAGCTTGGTCCGCCTTGTTCCTTAGCTGCAGCTTCTCATTCGACAACCTTCGGACACTGTCGACTCAACCAGTGCCAGAGGAAGCCAAGGATCTTTATGCTAAATTTCAAAGGCTCCTCCTTTGTAGATTCTGGATTCCTGGTCGCAACTCCGGCACAGGTTCCCTCGCGTCCGGTCTCTCCTGAATGCATGTTGATCCCGTTGAGGACCCCGACAGTGTCACAGTCCACTTTGAACTTGAAACCATGAATGTCCCTGGCTTTTCTGCTTTCGAGATCATCTGCACGGCCGTAGCCGTACATGTTTTTCTCTTTTTTGACTTCACTTGGCTCTGGCTGTAGCTCCTCCGTTACCTGATAAACCTCCGAGACCAGGCCTGCAAGCGCGTTGGCATCCGTCGGAGGGGTACCAGAGCACGCGGTCCACTGAAGCCCTTCCGACACGCACTCACCTGGCTGGCTGGCAGTTAGCAATGCAACTCACAAGTCTGAAGCGCTTTGTGACATACGGTGAATGCGCCAGCCTCGACCAACTCCCTTGAAGCGGCGCCTGAGCTGAACTCATTGAACCGCCTGCAATCCCATCTCAAAATCTAGCAAGCATCATCAAGAAGAACAGCTGAATTGAGGTGACAAGCCGCTTCGTTATCGAGTATCCATCCACCAGTTCTGGGATGATCTCGTCCGTCCCCATGGCAGTAACCTCGGTCCCTTTGGGGGTGATAGCCTCGATTTTGAAGTACTGCCTGGCGCCGAAGAAAAGCTCCTGATAACCGCGTGTGTAGAGGTCCATGTACGTGGTGCCAACAATCTGGATGCAAGCGCCGCACGCAAAGTTGCTGAGACCCGAAAAACCGTCCGCGTCGACCCAGCGTCCGTCCAGGCAGGTGATAAAACCTGACGAGCCCGTCTTCTTCAGCACAACGTAGCGCTCCTGCCAACATTGAACCTGCAACGCCTGGCCATGAGAAGCCCCCACAAGCGGGGACTTGAAAACTCCAGAAACCATTTCATTCGAAGCAGAAGCGGCAGAAGTGTCTCCAAACGTGCATGGTCCGCACTCGCCGACCCCGATGCCGCCAAGCATCAACTTGTGCTGGCACGCGTTCATCAGATCATGGTTTAGGCACGCCGGTTGAAGAAAGGCAACGTCGTCTGGTCTAGTATCGAGCAGGAATCTTCTCCGAACAGTGGTGTGCATGCAAAGCACCGGGTTGGCAATTGCACATGCCATGACGTTTTTGTTCATGGCAGCAAGGCGACCTTCTGAACCCAGCTCACGGTACAAAGTGGCGCAGCTGCTGTAGAGTCGGCACACCTGTGCTGACATGACAGTCCCAATGAAGAAGAACTTGCAAAGTTGCTCCTGCTGACAATGGATTTCGCACTGCTCAGAGTCCAGGCCTTTTGGGCCCTCCAAGTGTTCATGTATGGTACGCAGGAGCTCCAAGGGGCTGCAAGCGAACTGGCCCATAACGATTGTGGTCACCGGCGCAAAGAACTTGCCGTCCCTGCTTCCGGGAGGGATCGAGGCCCAGGCTTCTCCGGTGACCGGGGCAGTTTCGCCCCAAAGAGGTCCTGCACATTGGGGTTTAGGCTTTAAAGGCTTTAGCGTTTAGGGCTTAGGGTTGAGGGCTTCGGACTTCCGCCAAAAGAGGTCCTGCACATTGGGGTTTAGGCTTTAAAGGCTTTAGCGTTTAGGGCTTAGGGTTGAGGGCTTCGGACTTCCGCCAAAAGAGGTCCTGCACATTGACAAGGATGTAGCCAGTGGTCGTGCATCAAAGAAGTCGAAGGATCATCCAGAACGACGATGTCAACCTCGGACTCGCCGGGATGGGCAACCTCCGCCGTAGTGTTCAGGGGGCCGCAGTTCGCCGCGGCCAGCTCAGCGCGCAGAGTGCCACTACTCACCTGCCCCTCAATCTGAATTGCAGTGAATTGCCGGCCCTGGTCAAACAATCTGATCATCAGGTTGCCTCGGCCACGCTTCAGAAGCAAGCCGACTTTGCAGGAATGGTGGGATTGAAGAATTTTCGAAAGCCAGGCAGGGGAGTTTCTCATATTTCTACCAAGGGCGTGAACAGTCCCAGTGCCTCTTTCAGATCTAGGAACAGAAGTCTGAGGCGGAGGCCGTCATCAGCAATCGTGGCCAGCGTCTCCCCGTGGAACTCCATGTAAGCAATATCGGGCTCTGCAAAGTCCAGGTCTGGCTGTGATCTTTGGATGAGCCACTCACGGTTGGCGGCGTCGAAATGCAGCCAGGATGTCTCATGAACCGATCGTCCCATCCGCATGTATGCCGTTCCTCCAGGCGAAAGATCGCCAGCAGGACAGAAGGATCCTGACAGAGAATGGTGGTTTGGAATGGCGATGTCGACGCACCGACTCCGGTCATCGCAGTTCGGGATGCGGGCGACAACAAGCTGGTCATCGCAACCCTCGATCAAAGAAACCGGGCAGCGGAACCTGAATGCGGTGCACGCTGTGTTCCACTGATAGAAGGCACAGTCGCTCCGGCTGCGGCAGGCCTGACGGCACTCCTTCTCCGAAGGCACGTCCATGATGAAGCTTGCCCCAGTTTTAAACGGAACTGTCTGGGGTGGCAGCCAGCAAGTGTCGTCCAACACTTTCATTTCGACGATCGCCGCCACGGAGGGGCCGTGGTTGTGCGGTGGCCATTCATACAGGCCATGGATCTCACAACTAAAGCTCAGGTGTCCTCGCCCGTTGCTTTCTTGGTTCAAAGCAAACTGGACACCTGCTTCGGGGGATAGGCGCAAAGCTCCGGTCGCCACGTCCAGATCGAATATGTGGAAACCCTCAAAGGTTCCTTGACCGGTCAAGCGATCCACCTTCACCGCATTATCGCAGTTGGCGATGAAGCGGCTGGGCGCAAGACCATCCTCTTGTTTCAGAGGTCTGGCGGTGGTTGCGGACTGACCCACCGTAGCACGCACGGGGTTGGCCGGATCTCCACTGTCATAAGAAAGGAAACTCCATGTTTTTGGGAAGAGCAGTGTAACGTGGGTCTTGTAAACTGATGTATTCCCATCACTTTCGGTGACTCGACCTTGCACCCGACACAGGGCCCCTTTGGTGGTGTTGAAGGGAGCTTCTCCGGTCACACCTCCAGAGGACCCGGACGCTGCCATCGACATCACCAGGTCGAAGTTCGTCGCGATGCCCGCCGCAGACCCCAAGGAGGGATTACACTCCAGGCTTGGCTCTTGGAGTGCCAATCCTGCACTTGTCACGGGGCTGTAGGAGCGTTGATAGCAGGGATGGAAGATCAATGGATAGGCGCCGTAGGAGATGCCCTTCTCCACTTCGACTTTGATGCGCGCGGACGCGGTGCCGCCTTCTCTCGACACGGCCGTGACGAGGCACTCAACGGTGAAGGGCTCAGAGCCTGGGACCGACAGTCCGACAAGCTGCAGGCGGCCATCTGTCCTGTCCAAGCGGAAGCCGTGCAAGAGCAAGTCACAAGCCTCGTCCACATAGTAGGAGTAGCTGGTGCGCGGCACCGGGTAGCCCGTGACACTTGTGGCACCCAACACAATCGGGGCCACAAAGTACGTGAAGGGAGCAGCTTCGCGATGACCGCCAGAGCACTTGCAGCAGGCTTCCATGGACGACAAGCCTCTCACCGGAGTGGGAGTGCACTTGGTCGCGTGGCATGTCTTCCCCTGTCAGTCAGGTCACGGTCTCCGCTTCATGAGCATTACATATTGGGCTATTGCATTTCAACGATCTCTGGCCTCCAGATCTCTCCAGCCGGGGGTGTCCATGCACGGCTCGCACATGTCACGTTGCTGGACTGACACGTAAAGCTCCACCACGTTCACAAAGGCGAAGGGCCGCATACTTCGCGTTGCCTTTTGGAAGCATTTGGGAACCAGGGAAGAAGTAACAGCTTCGGTCACTTTGTCTTGCATTTGTGTTTGAACTTGCCAAGAACGACACGAACAAATCAGGAGCTAAGTACCGATCTTGCTGCGAGACGGGTTGGGATCCGGGTTGGGGGAATGCAGGGAGTGCCTGGTGCCTTCTACCCTACCGCATGGAGTACTCATCCAGCCGAAACCTCAGGACAGCATGCAAACGACAGACACAAACGACCAAAGACCCGGCAGTGTATGCATCCGTCACCTTGCAGTCAACCCTTCGCAGTCGTTTCAAACTCTGAGGTGCCTCGCGCATGTCGCAGAAGCACAAGGCGGCAGCATTAGAGGTAGGCCCAACACCGGGTGCTCCTGGTGCCTTCGCACAGTCGACATCATACACAGGATCATTTGGATCCCAGAAAGAACAACTCCTTTCCGCGACAGAGTAAAATGGAACGCCCCAAGAACCCGCCATTCGCACTGTCTCGGCTGGATTGCATGGCATGCCAAGGCCCTTCATGACGAAGTTCATCTTGTCCCATGCATTGATCGTTGCCATCGTATTCTTGTCGCAGAGGCCCATGCCGCTCCTTGAACAAGCCGCGTTGCATGGCTCCAAGGGGTTCGCCAGGACCCAACGTGATGTGAGCAAGCCGTGCGGCATGGGGGATTCCTGACACGATGCTCACTATTGCTGTCACAACAGTACTGAAAGCCCATAAGTGCAAGCAAGTGCAAGGAAGCAACGAGCCTCACAAGTGCACAGGGGCCGATCAAAATCAGGAAACTTCACGATGTCACAGTCGATGTCATCCGCAACTTGCCCACTCCAAGGAGAGCAAGTTCCACCCGCATAAAGCGGGGCTCCTGCAAAATCCTGCCCTTCTTTACTTTTGGCTGCATCGCATGGCCTGCCGAGAGAGGTCATCACGCTGTTCATCTTGTCCCAAGTATTGATCGCTGCCATCCTATTCTTGTCGCACAGGCCCTTGCCGCTCCTCTGACAAGCCGTGTTGCATGGCTCGCCCGTATCGGCCAGTAACCATGTGGCCTGACAAGCACCATTATTGCATCAAGAACATGTTGTTATGCAGCGTTGCTTTCTCGCTCAAAACGCACTACGTAGAATAAAACATGTTACAATGTTGCTGCTTCTCGCGAGCACAACACTCCACATAACAAGCGAACTTCCTGCGAGAACTAAGTACTGGAATCCCGTTTCAAGCACACAACGGAAGCCCGCACAGCTGCCGTGCTGTGGTGCCGAAATCCCACAAACCCTGCCTTAGAAATGCTACAGGGCAGCAGCTGTGTAGCAGAAGATGTAAACATGCTGCGTTCTCTGATGCCACTACACACTAGTCAGAGGGCATTGTACAAGATGCAGAGTCTTCGGCTCTGACAGTAGCCACTATTCCTGGTTGGCAGCACTCTAGCGTCTCCGAGCCTACGCGCCTCATGACAAGTGCACAGGGGCCGATCAAAATCAGGAAACTTCACGATGTCACAGTCGATGTCATCCGCAGCTTGCCCGCTCCAAGGAGAGCAAGTTCCACCCGCATAAAGCGGGGCTCCTGCAAAATCCTGCCCTTCTTTACTTTTGGCTGCATCGCATGGCCTGCCGAGAGAGGTCATCACGCTGTTCATCTTGTCCCAAGTATTGATCGCTGCCATCCTATTCTTGTCGCACAGGCCCTTGCCGCTCCTCTGACAAGCCGTGTTGCATGGCTCGCCCGTATCGGCCAGTAACCATGTGGCCTGACAAGCACCATTATTGCATCAAGAACATGTTGTTATGCAGCGTTGCTTTCTCGCTCAAAACGCACTACGTAGAATAAAACATGTTACAATGTTGCTGCTTCTCGCGAGCACAACACTCCACATAACAAGCGAACTTCCTGCGAGAACTAAGTACTGGAATCCCGTTTCAAGCACACAACGGAAGCCCGCACAGCTGCCGTGCTGTGGTGCCGAAATCCCACAAACCCTGCCTTAGAAATGCTACAGGGCAGCAGCTGTGTAGCAGAAGATGTAAACATGCTGCGTTCTCTGATGCCACTACACACTAGTCAGAGGGCATTGTACAAGATGCAGAGTCTTCGGCTCTGACAGTAGCCACTATTCCTGGTTGGCAGCACTCTAGCGTCTCCGAGCCTACGCGCCTCATGACAAGTGCACAGGGGCCGATCAAAATCAGGAAACTTCACGATGTCACAGTCGATGTCATCCGCAGCTTGCCCGCTCCAAGGAGAGCAAGTTCCACCCGCATAAAGCGGGGCTCCTGCAAAATCCTGCCCTTCTTTACTTTTGGCTGCATCGCATGGCCTGCCGAGAGAGGTCATCACGCTGTTCATCTTGTCCCAAGTATTGATCGCTGCCATCCTATTCTTGTCGCACAGGCCCTTGCCGCTCCTCTGACAAGCCGTGTTGCATGGCTCGCCCGTATCGGCCAGTAACCATGTGGCCTGACAAGCACCATTATTGCATCAAGAACATGTTGTTATGCAGCGTTGCTTTCTCGCTCAAAACGCACTACGTAGAATAAAACATGTTACAATGTTGCTGCTTCTCGCGAGCACAACACTCCACATAACAAGCGAACTTCCTGCGAGAACTAAGTACTGGAAGCCCGTTTCAAGCACACAACGGAAGCCCGCACAGCTGCCGTGCTGTGGTGCCGAAATCCCACAAACCCTGCCTTAGAAATGCTACAGGGCAGCAGCTGTGTAGCAGAAGATGTAAACATGCTGCGTTCTCTGATGTGGAGTGCATGCCACTACACACTAGTCAGAGGGCATTGTACAAGATGCAGAGTCTTCGGCTCTGACAGTAGCCACTATTCCTGGTTGGCAGCACTCTAGCGTCTCCGAGCCTACGCGCCTCATGACAAGTGCACAGGGGCCGATCAAAATCAGGAAACTTCACGATGTCACAGTCGATGTCATCCGCAACTTGCCCGCTCCAAGGAGAGCAAGTTCCACCCGCATAAAGCGGGGCTCCTGCAAAATCCTGCCCTTCTTTACTTTTGGCTGCATCGCATGGCTTGCCGAGAGAGGTCATCACGCTGTTCATCTGGTCCCAAGTATTGATCGCTGCCATCCTATTCTTGTCGCACAGGCCCTTGCCGCTCCTCTGACAAGCCGTGTTGCATGGCTCGCCCGTATCGGCCAGTAACCACGTGGGGGCCGGCTGGCCCGATGCGGCCTGACAAGAACCATCATTGCGTCAAGAACATGTTGTTATCGAGCACAACACTCCACATAACAAGCGAACTTCCTGCGAGAACTAAGTACTGGAATCCCGTTTCAAGCACACAACGGAAGCCCGCACAGCTGCCGTGCTGTGGTGCCGACATCCCACAAACCCTGCCTTAGAAATGCTACAGGGCAGCAGCTGTGTAGCAGAAGATGTAAACATGCTGCGTTCTCTGATGTGGAGTGCATGCCACTACACGCTAGTCAGAGGGCATTGTACAAGATGCAGAGTCTTCGGCTCTGACAGTAGCCACTATTCCTGGTTGGCAGCACTCTAGCGTCTCCGAGCCTACGCGCCTCATGACAAGTGCACAGGGGCCGATCAAAATCAGGAAACTTCACGGTGGCACAGTCGATGTCATCCGCAACTTGCCCGCTCCAAGGAGAGCAAGTTCCAGCGGCATAAAGCGGGGCTCCTGCAAAATCCTGCCCTTCTTTACTTTTGGCTGCATCGCATGGCTTGCCGAGAGAGGTCATCACGCTGTTCATCTGGTCCCAAGTATTGATCGCTGCCATCCTATTCTTGTCGCAGAGGCCCTTGCCGCTCCTCTGACAAGCCGTGTTGCATGGCTCGCCCGTATCGGCCAGTAACCATGTGGCCTGACAGGCAGCATCCACAACAGCTTACAAAAACCCGAAACTCTGAACCCTAATCCCTAAACCCTAAACCCTGATCCCTAAACCCTAAACCCTAAACCCTAAACCCTAAACCCATTCTCTGCAATGGGAGCACACCCCGGTGCCTCGAACTTACCCAGCTTTAGCCCACGGAAGGCAGAGCCGTCACGTACCTGAACTGCTTCCTTGGCTCTGCTGCTTCGGCCCCCTGGCTACAGTTTAGGGTTTAGGGTTTAGGGTTTAGGGTTTAGGGTTTAGGGTTTAGGGTTTAGGGTTTAGGGTTTAGGGTTTAGGGTTTAGGGTTTAGGGTTTAGGGTTTAGGGTTTAGGGTTTAGGGTTTAGGGTTTAGCGATGTGCCCGCTACTGAGCGAGCTTGGGGTTCATGAGCAATCCATGGGACCCAATAAGCCCTCATCCCTGTGAAAGATCATATACTGCCCACACGCTCAGCGTCATAACCCTTGACCAGATCGTCTACAACTGGGTTGGACGTCTGTTTCCAGATCTGGTCGCGCAGTTCATGCTGGTGACCCGGCCACCGCAACCTTGCACGCTCTCTCTAGCCATGTAAGGTCCCTAAACCCTGAACCCCAAACCCTAAACCCTCTCATCCCACCGCTGGCTCCACAATGTCGAGGCCGCCACTTGAAGGTAAATTTGCCATTGATTCGGAAATTCTCCAACTGGTCAAAAATCGCGAAGTTGTCCGCACTGGGATCAAGCGGATTCCTGTCGCGAGGCACGTGCAGCTTTGATTTCTATCTACAGTGTGCTCTCTGCCAATTATGTCCTCTTGCCTCGCCACATTCGAGCAAACTTGGTTTGTAATTGCTCTTTTTCGGCCCCTGGGACTACCGCTTCGGACACTGCAGACAGTAGGAGAGGACCACAGGTCATTCAGTGCAACTTGGTGGCGCAGAGCACGTCGAACGATTGGCTGCCATGTAAAGTTCGCTTGCATATAGAGGGCTCTGCATGCATTGGTGGAAGGCTCACCATGCTATCCATGCATGTTGTGCAACATACCCTGTTCCCACCCATGGCAAATGTTGTCCATTGAAGAAGGCATTCCAGAAAGGCTATGCGAAAGTTTGCCATTGCTTCGCTGTTAATGCTAATGCAAAGCCAGTTTTTACAGCTTTTCGACAAGCTGGCCGACAAGGGAGCTCCCGAAGGAGGCCTAGAGCGCGATCTTCAATCTTTTCTGGATCAGCTTACAGACATGGTCCTCTTTGCCTCTCGCGTGACCCAACCGCAGGTGATTGACCTGACTCTGTGACTTGCCTGTTTGCTTGGTTGGTTCCTTGGTGCGTGGAGTGCGTCTTCTCACTGTTGCGCCCGCCCGCGTCTTGAACATCTTTCAATCATGATTGGGCCCCAATAGCGAGCGCTGGCTCAGCTTGCGTGCACTCGTGTGATTGCTGCCAATGAACGAAGACTTTAAGATTGGATGCTAGGTTCACGGGCTGACCTCCCGTTTTCTGGTGCCCCAATACAAATACCCGTGAAACCCTTCTACTAGAGGTGTCTGTCCGATCATGCATCACAACCTGTGAAAGACACGAACTGTCAACTGTCATAGGCGACATAACGCTTGCAGTTCAAGAGTCTTCGACAACTCGGCGAAGACCGTTGGAACTGTCTGGCGATACACGAGTTTCCACTGGGACGCATCATAGCCGTGCTGGCAGTCCCCGTCCAGCTCCGAGGCCCGGCCTGCAAGGAAGGCATAGGAAGGCCGTGGAGGGTTTCGGCTTTAGGGTTCACGGCATTTTGTGAACTGTCCGAAGCGCCTCCGCAGAACGAAGAGATAGTACAGCATGCGCCTCCTGTACCAGACCAGTCAGCCTCGGAAAATCGGTGGATGGGATATGAGTCCACGGGGCAACTTGGCTCTGTCGAGCATGTGCTCGGCGTCGTCTGTGCCGATAAGTTGAGCTTGACGTTGCCTCTCATAGCTCGGCACAGCTCAAACTTCGAAGCCTCAGCATCGGCCGCCAAAAATCTCCAGACCGTACGCACAGGTGAGCCAATCGCGTCCCCCGATAATGGCCGACCCCACAAAGGATGTTAGAATGGATGGTCTAAGAGTCTACATCAGGCTCAAAAGAAATGCATCAGGCTGGTATCAGGTCTAGCTTTGTGCTCCATCGGGCCTTTAGGCTTCGGGTCCAAGACTTACTTAAGAGTCATGCTCCACAGGACTCCACCATGCCAGATCATCTGAATTGCGGCCGCGTTACAGTCGTATGATTGTTGCGCGTCTGTGTCTTCATTTGGTGTTGCTCCACGGCTTCCTGCACGCTCCGCCAAGCTTCTTGATGGTTCAATGTTTGGACTCTGCAACTTTGCTGCTTTGTCCGAAGAAAGGATGACTGTTGGTTGCTTACCCGTGACATTTTTGGCTTGGTTGTAATTTCTTGCTTGTTTTCTTCGAGTTTCCTTGCAAAACATTGCTCGGTTGTGACTTTTTTCTCGCCTTCGCCGCTTTTGGGTTTAGGGCTTCCAACGTGAACCTTGCAGGCTTCCTAGCCAATGCCATCTCTCCGCTTAGGGTTTAGGGTTGAGGGTCCAGAGCTTCCCTGCCAACATCTGCCTTTAGCAGTTTGGAGTTTAGAATTTGGGTTTTGGGTTTAGGGTTCAGGGTTGGGCTGATGTATATCCCCCCCCCTGATTATTCGGGCGTCCGCTGTTGCGGTTCCCCTCATTTTTTATAGGTTTACATAAACGTATATATTTCAAACCCTACACCACCGTTATAACCACAGCAATAAGTCGATGATGATGTAGGCACCCCAACCCTATAGGGTTAAGGTTCCTAGGCTTAGGGTTTAAGATTGAGGCATTTAAGCGTAAGCCCGCAATGAAACCTAAACCCCAACCGTTCAACCCGATAGAGTTAAAGTTAAGGGGTTAGGGTTTTTGATTAGGCATTTTAAGCTTTAAACCTCAACCCACAGAGCATCTAAAACGAAAACTCAGGGAGTTTTAACCTTAAGGGTTGGAGGTTCGGGCAGTTAAACCTTAACCCATCTAGGCATTAAAAACGAAATCTCATAGAGTTTTAAAAGGGTTTAACGTTCGGGCATTTACACCTTAACCAGGGTCAGAACCCTAAAACCCGATAGGGCTCTATAAGGTTCAAAGGTTTAACCCTAAAGGGTGCTGAAGGTTTACATGCCCAGACCTTAGGCTTTCTTGAACCATTGAACCCTATAGGGTTTAAAGGTTTAGGGTTTAAGGTTTGGGCATTACCTGTACGATAGAACCTAAAAACCCTATAGGGCTTGGGGCTGAAATCCCTAAACCTTAAATCCCATAGGGTTATGCCTATGTTTGTAAGGCTTTCGTCCCGGTGACGCGAGAATACTGTGAGCAAATGTCCTTTTCACGACTACCTGGGTTTCAAATGAAAAACAAACACATTGTTATATGATGGAAATCAGGTTTTGCTTATCGGGGGATGGTTGCGCGTGATATCTTAGCTAAGGGTAAAGCTTTTAGGATGGATGTTTTGTTTTGCTTATTGGGCGTGATGGGGTTACCCTCATTTTCTTATAGGTTCATTACATGTATATAAGTCAAACCCTGAACCATAGTTATAACCGCAGCAAAAAAAGTGATAACCTTGTCATATACATATATCCGCAGAGCTCGTCACTTTCACTACTTCTCGGGATTCAAAATGTAAACAAACTATTTCGATAAATGATGGAATTCAAGTCTTGCTTATTGGGGGATGGTTGCTTGAGATATCTCAGCTAAGGTAAAGTCTTTAGGATAGATGTTTTGTTTTGCTTATTGGGGCGCGATGCTGTTCCCCATATTCTTATGGGTGTACATAAGTGTATATAAATCAAACCCTAACCCATAGTTATAACCGTAAACCGACCCCATATTGAATATTGAAACAGACAGCTCAATATTCAATATCAGGCAGAATCCAAGATCCAAGATCCAAGACGCCCATGGGAGAAATTCCGATGCAATCTTGGATCCCACCCGGGCCCTGGATCCAAGATTGCTCCGGAAATTCTCCCGTGGGCATCTTGGATCTTGGATCTTGGATCCCACCCAACATTGAATATTGAAAAAAATCCCCGGAAGAAATGGTAGGTTGGTAGGTTGGTAGGTTGGTAGGTTGGTAGGTTGGTAGGTTGGTAGGTTGGTAGGTTGGTTAACCCATGGGCCCGAAAAACTGGTAGGTTGGTAGGTCGGTAGGTTAGTGGGCCCATAGGCCCTGGAAAAGGTGGGCTGGTAGGTGGTGGATCCGCCCCATAAAAGTTGACGTGTTGATGTTGATAGGCTGGTAATAGGTGCATATGTAATCCATACCTTAGTGATGCTGGAAGCGTTTGAAAGCATGACATGATCTATGAGACGTTACTTTCTGAGGTTCTACATAGTTTAACATGGTACACATAATCCAAGGTTTGGTTCACTAAGTTAACTGTTGGATAATAATTTGAGCAAATACTGCCCGAAAACCATATTCAGACTTCAGCTAACTCAGTTCCCGTAGAGTTTGCCTTAAAACCTATGTGTTCAGTTACTCAAAGATTTGAACAATTAATTGGAGTGGCTCTAGGAACAATTGATTGGATGACAAAACCTAAAGCTCGAAATTCACTGAATTCCGGAAAATGCTTTTCTGGAATTTAACTAGTTGAATTACTTCAAGTGTTTTGATCACTTTCATTATTTCTTGGGACTCCTCCTAGTAAAAATCTAAATGATTCGAACACTTCCACCGTTTTCGATACCCTCCTTGACGCCGTTGCAATTACAATAACCAACTAATATAATTGAATTATGAAAGTGGTTGTTCGGAGATTGGCTCATGTATGTAATTGTTTGATTAATCTAACTTTCTTGGGACACCCCCAATTGAATCATTCGACTTGATTTCATTACATGTTTATTCGGGTTTAATGAAGATCATTACAAACATGAAATAGCTAGTTTTCGCATACCACTTCCAGAATTTGACCTATTTGCTTATCTCGATTGACAATGCATCTAGTGTTTGAAGGAGATAGATTACGTGAATTGTTCAAATACTTATTTGGGTGGAGGGTGGTGGTGGTCCGAGGAACTATCTACATTAGTTAAATAGATAAAAGGAATTAACCCAAGTAACTCAATTAGGTTACTTTGAAATGGTGAAAGTAGTACGATAAAAAATAATGGGCTGAAAACAATATAAACAGCATTGGCAGGGTAGGACGAACAGTCAATCTATAGGTACATGGGGGGAGCATATATGTATATGTAGGGATATATGGGGATGTAGAAATGCTGATGGGGCGGAAGCTGGTGAACGGATTGAGCCGGAAAGATGAAGGTGCAGATTTCCCTTGCCATATGATTCACGTGGTTGGGTCGTTGGCTAAACGAGTGCTCCTTTTAGGTCACAGCGGACCATAGTTTAGCCGTTTAGCCCGTAGCTTAAAACACTGCCCGTGTACAACACTGGTTCATGAGGTGCAAACGTCATGCAACATGGGCATGCCACGCCCTTAAGCCTAAACCCCCCGGTAGCGCGGCTGCTCCAAGCTCGCTGACCTCGCTGAGTGAAAAGGTCGTGAGCTACGAGTCAGCTCCGGTGCCATGCAGGTAAAGGCTGACTCGGGGCATGCGGAGCTGAAACGATTTAGGGTTTAGGGTTTCGGGTTTAGGGTTTAGAAAACATGACTGACAACATGTCCTGTTCCAGCCATTGCAGGGAGTGGCCACGCGGGATCTTCTGCAACAAAGCCTGTTCATCCAGCTTGTCACAGACCTGGATTCAGGCACCAACTCGTCAGGTCAAGTCTGCGATGCCCAGATCCCACCCGACCGTGGCCTCTCGGGAAGTGGAGGCAAAGAATACGACACAGAGCCATGGAGCCCATAGACTCCACATGGTGTCCAATAACCGCGAAACGAGAAGCTGATTGCAATTCTGCTTGAGGCTCAAGCTGCAGCAAACATGTGTGCCCCGATAGCTCAACATGGAGCAAATGCCCCGAGACAAGGTGCGTGCGAACTTCCAGTGACTTCCAGCTTGTGTCGGACCGGTTCCTTTCTCTTGCACCCTTCGGGCGTTGCGGAGGTCGTCCCCAGGTCGTCACCATATCGCATCACAAATGTTCAGCATTATCATGAGGTCCCCAAGGCTCAAAGCGTTTGAAAACGCTCATCAAGAGCACATGCATGTCTCACAGCAGCTTTTCACTCCGGAAGCTTTCGCGTTGACGTACTGGTTCTTAGTAGGGTATGGGGGAATGTACCCCTTTCGTAGTCCTTAGAGAATCTAATCCCCTATAATGGTCCCTATAACCCTAAACCCTAAATCCTAAACCCTAAAACCCTAAACCCTAAACCCTAAACCCTAAACCCTAAACCCATTCCCCCATTCCCAACTAAGGACTAGTATCACAAATAGCACCTCGAGCCCTTCAAGTGCTGAGCTACGGGCCTGGGAGACCATCCCCAGCCTAGGGTGGCGCTCAGACGTTTCAGAATGTCTCAAAATTTTGCGGTTTAGGGTTTAGGGTTTAGGGTCTAGGGTTTAGGGTTTAGGGTTTAGGGTTTAGGGTTTAGGGTTTAAGGTTTAGGGTTTAGGGTTTAGGGTTTAGGGTTTAAGGTTTAGGGTTTAGGGTTTAGGGTTTAGGGTTTAGGGCGTGCCAAACGGAAGCGCGCTTTGGGAGCGCGCGGTAGTCTGCAGACCTACCACCCCAAGACCGCCCACTTACAACTCTCAAGGAGTTAAGACCGTTTATTTGTTGCAAAGCATCACACGAGTCAGCACTCACGCCCTTTTGGGGACCTCCACAAGGTGCGTGGACCAGGCACAAAGCTGCAGCAGGGCCAGGGTAAGGCCAGAGGCAGGAAGACTACAGTAGGGCAGATGCGCAGACGGAAAGGCGAGGCAGGGTCAGCGAAGACAGCTTGGGTTGGCGCGAAGGGGCTCA